CTGGCGGGGGCAGCTGGGGGGGGCCCGGGGGGCCCGAAGGTGCAGGCCCACTAGGCGGCATGGGTGGCAGAGGCAGGCCTCCGGGTGGGGGTGGGGGCAAGGACTCAGGCAGTGGTGGCCGAGGGGGCAAGCCATTCATCAGCGGGGGCGGGGGCCGCTTCACTCCAGGAGGCCCGGCCGGGAGGCTCGGCGGTGCCGGTGGCTTCTCCATCTTAAAGTGGAACTGGAGAAAAAACTGGAGAAACAGCAGAGGCTGAGCCGGCCCGCAGAGCCTCAGGTGGGGGACAGGCTGGCCCGGCAGCTGCCGAAGGCCCCGGAGCGGCTTACCTGCTTGGTCTCCCGGTTCCAGTGAGTCCAAAACTTGCCTTCAGCCTTGTCAATCTCCCTGCTGGGCACCTGCATGGGGAGGGGCAGAGCCGGGCCTTCAGGACCACGAGGGTGGACCGGGGCACGGAGCTCAAGGGCGTCCCTGCCCGCCCCTCGGCCTCAGAGCAGGCCCGGCGGGGAGGCCCTCTGTGAGGGACCCGGGCTTGGTCTCGGGCTGACGGACTCAGCTTACGATCCAGCTCTGCTGCTTAGCACCCTGCAACCCAGGGACGCCGTGCCCTACGCTGTCCTGTCCGTCCTGCGTGTCCAGGCACAGAACGCGGTTACAGAGCCCCCGGACAGCCCGGCCACGGGGGCCACTCGCTGCTGGGTGTCTTGGGGCACCCACCTCGGGCATGCAATCCCCAGCCCTGGCTGCACCGTTTGTCCCACTCTCAAGAGGCACGCGTCCACTGAGGGGGCCCTGGAGGGGCCGGGAGCCACCTGCCTGCCCCGAGCAGACCCCTCAGCTCACTGCCCGCCTCATGGGCCTGGCAGGGCAGGGACGTGGGGACCTGGAAGGCAATGGTCTCGTAGGGCCCTGGCGCAGCGGGGACCTGGGGACTGGGGGACCGTGTACCTTGAAGGCGATGGTCTCGTAGGGCTCGGCGGCCATCAGCAGGTACTGCCAGCGCCGGTCCGGAGGCTCGATCCTCTGCTCGTAGGCGGACATGAAGCGGTGGCGTGGCATGATGCCCTCGGCGATCTCTGGGTAGTCAATCTGCAGGGACACAGCCAGGTGGCAGCAGCGCCCGCAAGCTCCCATTGGAGCAGCGAGCGGAGCCTGGCAGCCCCTGCCCTACCCCACCCCGGCCCCAGGCCCTGTCTCACCTGGAAGAGGAGGCTCTGCTGGCCCATCTCCGTGTCCCTCTGCTTGGTCACTGCAACACACGAGGGTCTCAGGGCCAGGCCGGCTCGTCCTCCCCAAAGCTCAGGGGGCCTGGGGGGCTCTACCGCCACCCACTAACAGGAAGGCAGACGCCAGGGGAGGTTGCCCAACCGGTGAACTGGAGCCCTGCCCAGGCCAGGAGGGTGCACTGCAGGGGACGGCCCAGGTGTGTGGCGGTGGGGCAGGAGAGGCCTGTCGCCCTCACCCCTGGAGGCCTGGGGGCACCGAGCACACGGGCCAGTGCAGCCTGTACCCCTGCTTCTGCGAGAGGGCGCCCTTCCCAGTAGAGCTGTGGCTTCTAGGCTCTTCTCCACGCCACCCCCCGACGCCTCCGCGCTACAGAGACCAGACAGCCTATCATGGTCAAAGGCCTTTGGGGGCCTCCCCAAGTGGACGCTGCCGTCCCAGCCCTGGTTCACGGAGCAGGCCTGCCCCGGGGCCTCTGCATGCTGTCTCCTGTCTGGACCAGTCACACACAGGCCGTCCCCACCTCCTGCACAGACACCAGCCAGGCAGCTTTCCTCCCTTCCTCCCTCCCTTGTAGCTCCCTGCAACAGTCTCCTGAATTCTGGCGGGCACGTGCCCCGCTCTGAGCCAGGGAACCAGGGCGCTCCCCTGCCAGCGGCTCCACTGACAGCTGCTGCTCACACGACCCCACCTCCCCTGCTCTCTCTGCTCAGGTCGAGGGGCCACAACCCGGTCCCCAGTCCAGAGGAAAGGGATGCACCAGGCTCACTGGCCCCTTTCACGCTCCCCCTCAGCCCCAGGAGAGTCATGGTCATAGCTCCCCCGACACGGCGCAGGGATACTGGGGTCCTCACGGGGGAGGAGGGGAGGATTTGGCCCCAGGAGAGGAATCCTTCTGAGGGAAACGGTCGCAGGCTCCCCAGAGGGTGGGGCGGGGTCGGGGTCCCGGGCAGAGGGCTCCTCAGGCCTGGTGCCAGCTGCAGGCCCAGCCCCCTGGACACTCACCTTTGTAGCCCGGGCGGCCGATCTTCACAAACTTCTTCACCTCCACCTTGACCTTCTCCGGCGCCGGCTGGGCGGGGGCCTCCTTGGCCTCCTTGGCTGCTCGCCGGGCCCTGCAGGCCGGACAGACACAGCACTGCGGCCCCTCCCCACAGCCGCCAAGGCCACAGGCCCAGGTGCCGGGAGCCGCCCCGCTCTGCCCCTGGAGCCTGGAGCTCATCTGCATGGTGAGCGGGAGGGGACAGGCCTGGCCACCTTTCTCCTCCTATCATGTTGCCCACTGTCCCTTGCTGAGAACCCCAGAGCCCCCCACTACAGAAAAGCTTCAACACTGGGTGAAGAGGGCCTCCAGCCCCGGTGGGTCCGCCCGCCTGTCTCCCCGCGCTGGCCCGAGGCGCCGGCTGGGCACGGGAAGGGCGGCGAGGCACTCACAAGTTGGTCTGATGCTTCTTGCCCTGGGTGTGCGCGAGGTAACTGCCCTGCAGCGGGAAGAGGGGCACACGACAAAGGACAAAGTGAGCAGGAGAGAGAGGGAGGAGCCGGTCTCTGTCCGCAGGGCCCAGGACAAGGGCACCCGGAGGTGGCCGGACAGACAGACCCCGCGGATCTGCACAGAACAGAACGAGACAAACACGAAGCCAGAGAGGACGAGCCCCCAGTGCCGGGTCTGAGAGCCGAGGGACCCGGAAGTCTCTCCCACTGCTGGGGACACCAAGGGGCCTGCTGGACTGAGGACGCTCCGTGGCAATGGCTGGAAAGTCCACACGGGAGCAGCCCTGTGACCCTGCGGTTCCATTCTGATGACCCCACAGGAAGCTCTCCGACGGGGGCAGGATGAGACATACGGATTGTGGTTCTCAACCTGGCAAGGACTGTTCTGACCACTCAGGGGACGTCTGTGGCTGTCACACTGGGGGTGCTCCTAGCATCGAGTGGGTGGGGCCAGGGATGCTGCTCAATGGCCCCCACAGCGCCCAGCACGGCCCCCCAGAGAGTGACCCGGCCCTGATGTCCGCAGTGCCAGGGGGACGCAGACAGCTGAGACTGTTCGGGTCGCCACTGTTTGCAGCTGTGAACAGACTGGAAGGCGAACCGAACCTTCGAACGCGGAAAAGGACAAATGAAGCCTACAGGACAGTGGACAAGCTGCCCGTGGGAGCACTCATTGAATGGTCATTCAACCTTCCGGTTGTCAGAAGACGAGGACCAGAGCCACACCAACTAAATCTCGAGAACCCGAGGTGGGATGTTTTGGGCTGTGCCCCACGTTCGCAGACACACACACATAGCCGCAGCATTAACGGTACTGAAGGAAAGGGAACTGGGAGGAGGCTCAGCGAAGACACAGCGCTGGGGGCCTCCAGGGGCGGGGACAGAGGGGGCCCGGCCTCCACCTGGCGCCAGCAGGCCTTTGCCCTCAGCTCTGAGTGGCGGCCCCAGGCAGAGCCCCTTTGTCCTCGGCTGCATTCCCGACGGCGTCCCAGAATCAGCCAGGCAAGAGCTGCGAGAACGAGGATGGGGGAGCCGGGGGTGGGCACAGCGAGCCCCGCCTGAGAGCTGGGATGGCGGCACTGGACCGGGGGTGGGGGTGGGACAGGGGAGGGCCCGTGTGGGAGCGGGTGGTGGGCCAGCAGCCCGGGCCTGGGCACACACCTCATTGTTGTGGAGCGTCAGGCACAGCTTGCACTCGTACGAGCCCAGGTGGTTTTTCATGAAGTAGGGGTCCTGGGTGGGAGGGAAGCAGACTCCATCAGATGGCGGGAGGCGGTGCCCCCCACCCCGCAGGCGAGGCCTCCTGTGTGGGGGCTGAGGGGCGGCTGTCTTCCCCGTGAGCACACGTTCCGGGAAGGAGCACCAGGAGCAGCCCGGGGCCCGGCAGGAGCCCCTAAGGCAGCAGCGCTCGCCCCCTGGATCGTGGAAATGCAGAGCCCGCTCTGCAGGCGGGGTGCCGACCCTCTGCATCCGCAACGCGCTTGCGGGGGGGAGTGTCTGTGCGGAGTCCCTGGCCCCACATGCGTGGAACTTTGGGACTAGAAAGAGGCAGAGCTGAACCAGCACTGCCAGCTGTCCCTCTCCCGGGCCGGCCGAGGACCTGCCCGCCAACCCTGGCAGCACCCCCAGCGTCGCCGCACACAGGCGGCAGAGGAGGAGCGCTGGACCAGATGCCCTGAGCCCCGTCTCAGTGAGCGGGCAGGGCTCCTGGCCCGACAGCTGATTCGCCACCAACAGAGGCAGCAGCACACCAGCCGTGGCTCAATCCTGAGTCCACTACCCGGCCTGTCACCTCCGAGACAGCTGTCTACACCCCCCCACCTGGTCCTCTGCGGAAGGGGGGGGGGGGGGGGGGGGGGGGGCAGGGCAGCACCCACCTTGTTGATGTCAATGGTCTCCAGCGCCAGCTGCCGGAGGCGCTCCCTGCGGTCGCGGTTGCTCTCGGAGGAGGAGGCCACGCCCCCGCTCCCGGTCTTGCCCCCGGGGCGATGCTGGAAGTCCATGGTGAAGGCCTTGGGGCTTGATCAGACTGGGACGCAACCTGCGGAGGCCCAGTGAGAGGGTGTAAGGCGGTGGCAGGGGCTGGGGCCTCCCCGGGCAGGCGGAACCCCCTGGCTCCAGCCCCCTGCACTCAGGACCAGTCTGCAGCCCTCTCTTCCAGCAGGCCGAGGGCCCACGGTGGGCCAGGCCCACAGGAGAAGGAATAAGGATAAACAAGGACAACGGGGCGTCTCCAGGGACCAAGGGGGTGGACTGGAGGGACGTCACCCCAGCCGAGGAGTGCCAAGCCCAGGGGCCCGAAATGGCAACGGGGAAGATGAGCCCAAGTGCTCACTGACGAGTCTCACCTCCTCCAAGGAGCCTCCCCGGACAGCCCGAGCCAGGGTGTTCCCTCTCCTCGGAACTCCCTTCCCGCTTGTCTACACTCGCTTCTCCCAGCCAACCTCACCTCTGCTGCTTGGGCTCAGCTGTGAGCTTGTGGAGGCAAGGCGGACACACATCTATCCTCTTATTCGCCCTACTGCCTCACGCACCGGAGGCCTTCCAGACCTGTGTGCGGCCGAGGAAGGCTCTCCTGGGTCCTCCACATCCTCTTCCAGCCCCTCGTCAGCCAGCCCTGCCCCTGGGCGTCCCACAGTCAGGCTCAGCCCAAACCCACCGTCCAGGCACCTCTCGCTGATTTCCCAACACTCTCTCTCTGGATTAGCCTATGGTATCTCGTCTCTGTTGGAGTGAGCTCACAAGGACAGGGCCCAGGAGTGAACACGACCCCTAAAGACGTCCCCGTCCTCGTCCCGGGACCTGCAGATGTGTCACCTCACATGGTAACTTTGCAGGTGATACTGAGTAAAGGACACTGAGATGGGGGGTGACCCTGGATTCCCGGGGCCCAGGGTCATCCCAGGGTCCTGAGCAGAGGGAGGCGGGAGGGTCAGAGACAGAGATGGAGATGCTGCGCTGCTGGCCGTGCGGACGGAGGAAGGGCCCCGAGCCCAGGACGCAGCGCCTCTGGAAGCTGGAGGAGGCGGGACACGCTCCTCCCCTGGGGCCTCCGGGAGGACCCGCCCTGGACACCCTGGGTTTAGGACTCCAGACCCCAGAACCTGAGACGATAAACGTATATTTTTTTAAGCCGCTGAGTTTGTGGTGATTTGCTGCAGCAGCCACAGGACACCACCACATGGGGTACAGGCCAGTAGTGAAGTGGGGTCACGCCCCCGGAGGACCAGACTTTTTATTTCACACAAATCCACTCACAGCTGCCAACTGTTCAATCTCGTCGGCCACAGCGTGAGACAAACCCCCACTGACTATCAGCCTCGCTTCATCAAACAAAGGACACTTCAACGTGCAAAGAGGACACGATACCAGGACAGCCCCGTGCCAGGAACGCAGCCTGCCCGCCCAGTGGAACCCTCCTGCCTGGCCATGCTCCCCGAGACCAGGGAAACCACGCCTGGCACCTGCCGCGGCTGTTGGCCCAGGCCGCCCTGAACTCCGTGATCCCACTGCCAGTGCCGACCACAGGCCCCTGGGGGAAGGCCCCGAGTCCAGCAGCACATCCGCCCTGTGGGGACGCACCTCGACATCCCTGCCGTCAAGGGATGGGAAGCTCACACCAGGCACGTGTGAGACTGAAGGGTGCGACCCGCTCTCCAGCCCCAACCCAGAGCAAGAATCCAGAGGCCCGGGAGCCGGCTCCCTCGGGTGACAGATGACAGGCCTCCCCTGGAGAAACTCCCACGGTGGCAGAGGACGGCGTTCACCCCAACACTGAAGACTGGGGGCTTCTGAGGGGGACTGTGCTCTGATCAGCACAGCTGGCCGACAGGTACCTGGAGAGGTGCTCGACATCACGCACCATGAGGGACACGCAGGTCAGCCCACAGCGGGACGCCACCCACAGCGGTCAGGAGGGCGGGGATCAAAAGCAAAGACAACCACAGCCAGCTCGCGCTCTGGGAGTGAGCGCCGGTCAGACTAGGGACCTGCGGCACAGCTTCTGGGGCTGGGACAGAGAGCCACCAGTCTGCTGATGTCCTATTTCCCGCCACACGTCAGTGACATCTTCAGAACACTCTCCTGGCCCCATGGTTGGGAAGAGCTGGAAAAGTGACTCAGAAGGCAACGTGCTAGCCAAGCCAAGAGCGCCGATCTGTTTGGGGATGAGCCCAGTTCCTTCCTAAACGGCCAGACCCCGCTCCTCGGTCCCAGCGGCTGGCTGGGAACGTGCACAGGGGTTGCAGGGGGAGCCTGCTCAGAGAACCTGATGGGCTCAAGGGAACCCAAACGAAGACATTTGCTCACTGCTCACCAAACGAGGGAAAACCAGTAACTCCCAGAAACCGAAACTGCTGGTTACTCGCAGCCCACTGAGCACAGATCATCGTCCCCAGCCGGACTGAAACGAGAGCCCTCGCCCAAGGGGAAGGTCACATGCCCAGGCACCCTCGACTCCCGGGCAGGGCAGTTTTATTCTCAGGAGAATTGGGACGACGGGCCTCCCAGCCTAGAGAGCCCAGGGTGAGGGCCAGGCTGAAAAGCCGGGATTCCATGAACATCTGCCCAGGGAACGGCTGGCAGTCTGCCCCCCACGCCGCGGCCAGAGGGCGGAGGCCCAGCCCGAGCCCCCAGCCCAGGGGACACCACGACTCTCTTCTGGGGAGAGCACCCTCAGACACTGACGGCTGGGGTCCCCCACAGCCCAAAGAAAACACCAGCTCCCGTGGGGCCTGCCGAGCTGGAGGCGCACCAGACGAGGAGCAGAGCTGGCGACTCTAGTTACGCAGATGCGAAGAGCCAGCACGGATCCCAGGAAGAAGGGGCCTCAAAAGGAGATGCCGACATCCTCCTTAACTGTCAGGAAAGTCACCTGCCCTCCCAGGAAACCAGAACAGGAGGCCAAAGGTCAGCACGGCAAAGCAAGACCAGAACGAACCCTTGGAAAGTAAAGACCAGGTGATCTCAACCAAAAATGGAATACGGGCGCTCGGAGGTAAGAGTCAAAGAAATCTTTCACAGAGGAGGAAAGAAAAGGAAAAAGCAGGCGGCACAGCGAGAAGCTGGATGAAGTTCCACAGTGGGGACAGAAAGAAACACGGAGTGTGCCATCACACAAGCAACATCCGAACACGATCAGGCAAAAAAAAAGAAACCGTCCCAGGACCGAAAGGACCTATTCTTCCAACAGGACAGCCTTACCCAGGTCAACACACAAAAAGACCCTCAATAAATGGATCCCGAAACTCCACAACACGAAGGAAAGCCGGCAACTTTTTACTGCACAGAGAGAAAATCAGAAACAAGAGATCAGAAACCAGAATAGGACCAGACCGTTCAGAATGGGACTGAAAACCTACGGCGTGCAAATGTTTTCACGGTTCTCAAGACGGATGTTCAATCTAGAATTTTACACCCAAATTTCTAGCTCTGAGGATCAATAAAGCCGTTTTCATGTAACCAAGGACTCAAACCAATGAGTAGGTTTCTTAAAAGCTCTTTCAACCTGCGGAAAAGCACACGTGTGCGGTGTTGGAGCTTTGAGAGAAAAACTAATAACGGACAAAGAAAATCAGTCCCATAGGAAAAACGAGGAAATCGGGGGAATTCAGAACGCTACGAGAACCACGACATGGTTAAACACGCTGTTATTTTCCGTCTTAGGAAACGGGACTAAGGCTTCGACTACAGCTCGGGGTCTACAAACACGACCGGGGTCTGGAGGGTCAAAGTGGAGCGGGTGGGCGAGGGGCAGAAATAACCGCCATCAGTCACGGTGGGAAGTCAGCAGGTCGCGTCTAAAACCGACACACGCAGAAAGCGTTCGGGTTTTTACAAAGATGAAGGGTGGCACTTAGAATATTAGGGGAGGAGCGGCCTCTGCGGCGGGACGACGGCGCAGGGACCAATGACAGTTTTTGGTGAACACGCTATTAACCCCGTAAGCCCGGCAGACGGAACATTTCCGGGGGCTCCTCTCGGGGGTTCCGCGCGGCCAAAGGGCAGAAGCGGGAAGCGGGCATCAGGGTCATTTAAGCTCGGGGCCTCGCTCGCCAGACGGGGCCAGCTAACGGGCTCCGGGTGCCCTCGGCGCGGGGCTGGGCGCTCCGAACTGACCTGGAGCCGGTGACCGCCGCGACCCCCATCCCACAGTTACCGGAACTGGGGTTCCCAGGGGACCCCGGACGGCAGAGCCAGTCAACTAACACTCAGATAGAAGGAAGGAGCCCCGGCCCCAAGGCGGCGACCCCGACCCTTCGGGCCTCTGGAGGGAGAGCTCCGAGCGGGCAGGGGGCGACGGGACGCAGAGGCCCCAGACCCCGGGGAGGGGGCGCCCCCCGCCGCAGGCGCCCCTCGCCCACGTCCGCTCCCCTCCAGGGAACCCCGGGCTCCGGGGCCCCCGCCCCCGCCGCTCCTTTCCCGTGCCTGAGGCTGAGATACCGTTGTCTTTTCAGCCGCCACCGGGACCGCCACGACTTCGTCCTGCGCACGCGCGCCGCGGGCTAAGGAAGCACTTCCGGAGGCAAACGGGGCGGGGCCTCCGGTGTGCGCATGCCCACGCCGTCCGGCGGCCTGGGGAGGACGCTCTAGAGGCGCGAGGAGAAAGGGGAGGGGCTAAGAGTGAGGGCTGGAAGCAGAAGTGCGCGTGCGCACCAGGCTCTCGACAACCCTCGGGCTGCTCCAAATCGCGCGACGCCAGTTCTCGCGGGAGGGAGGGCTGCGACTCGCCCACGGCCCGCCTGGTCCTGTCCGCTTCAGTAAAGGGGGTGCTTTATTCTGTTTCCACCCTGGTTCTGGCTTATTTCATGGTTATATATAACGACCGTCCGTCTCGCCTACTATCCCGTACGGCCCAGAACGGCTTCGCTCCGCCCGGGTGACCCCTCTGACGTCAGCGCCACGCACCGGTGACTGACAGGCCGAGCGGAGACGCGGCCCGCGAGCGCGCAGGCGCAGTAGCTCCGGGAGCGCTTCCGGGACGGCGCCGTGGGACTTTTCTGGCGCGATCGGGGACGGCGGCCGAGAGGGCGCGGCCCGGGGTTCGCGTTCTGGGTCCCGGCGGCGCCATGCGCTACAACGAGAAGGAGCTGCAGGCGCTGTCCCGGCAGCCGGCCGAGCTGGCAGCCGAGCTGGGCATGCGGGGCCCCAAGAAGGGCAGCGGTGAGAGGGGCCGGGCCAGGCCGGGGGGGCCGGGGCGGGGAGGGCGGCCGCCGAGTCCGCTGAGCCCGCGCGAGCCCGCCCTGTGCCCGCAGTGGTGAAGCGGCGGCTGGTGAAGCTGGTGGTCAACTTCCTCTTCTACTTCCGGACGGACGAGGCCGAGGTAGGGGGGCGGGGGCGGGCCGGGGCCGGGGAGGAGTCGGGGTCGGGGCCGGGGTCGGGGTCCCCGCCGCGGTCCGCCCCCATCGCCCCGTCTGCCCCCAGCCCGTCGGAGCCTTGCTGCTGGAGCACTGCAAAGTCGCCCAGGAAGAGCCCAGCGGCTTCTCCATCAGTGAGTGTCCATCACCGAGTGCGGGGGGGCGGGGACGAGGCCCGCCGTGACCCAGCTCCGCCCGGCCCCGCCCCAGAAACGGAGTCCCCCGTCCCGGGCAGCGGCCCCGCCGGGCTCACTCGGCCGGGCCGCTGCCCTGGGGGCTCAGGCTGGGCGCACCCGTCGCAGCCGCTTCCGAGCTGCCACCCCGAACGCCGCCTCTTGCTGGGGAACACTGCCCTCTCGGGGTGCCTCGCTGTTGTCTCATCTGCCCTCGGTGCCCGGCCCTCTGCTGGCCCCCCGCCTCCCCCTGCCGGAGGATTGTCCTGGGCGGTCCGGAGAGGGGCTGGAATCTGCGGGGGAAGGAGGAGCCGCTTCTAGTTTTCCGCGGCTACAGGCTGGGAGGCCTAAACGGCAATAATTCATCTTTCTCGGTTCTGGAGGATAGAAGTCCGGGGGGCGGGGCTGGGGCAGGGCAGGTGCGCTCCGAGGGAGAATCTGTTCCATGTCTCTCCCGGCTTCCGGGGGTCGCTGGCTGTCCCTGCTGTCCGTTGCCTCATAGGAGCATCGCCCCATCTCTGCCTCCGTCTTCACATGGCCTTTCCCCTTGTTTATGCCTAAGTGTCCCATTTTTATAAGGACTCCAGCCGTGTTGGATTAGAGTCCCCTGTATTCCAGTGTGACGTCATCTTCACTGGTTACACTTCCAATGATCATCTATCCAAATATGCTCACGTCACCACTTCCCAGGTGCCAGGACATATCCTTTTGGGGTACACAGTTCGATTCATGACTGGCAGCAAGGGATGAGCCCGTGCTGGGGCTGGAGGAGGGGACAGTTGTGGACGGTGGCAACGGGAAGCTGAGGCCTGTGGCTGTCTGGGGGGTGGGTGTGAGCGGGGACGCACGGGGGCCGCTCTCTGCAGGCTTCGTCGAGGACCCGGAGAGGAAGTACCGCTTTGAGTGCCACAGCGAGGAGCAGTGTCAGGAGTGGATAGGGGCTCTCCGTCGAGCCAGGTGGGGCACAGGCCGGCCTGGGGGGCCCCGGGCGGGGCCAGAGCAGGGCCCTGTGAGCGCAGGCTGCTTTCTTCCCCAGCTACGAGTTCATGCGGAGGAGCCTCATCTTCTACAGGAATGAGATCCAGAAGGTGACCGGCAAGGTGCGCACGGGGGCCGGGGCGGGGGTACAGCGGCCGGAGGTGCAGGCCTCCTGGGCAGGGCTCACAGCTCCCCGTCCACCCACACAGGACCCCCTGGAGCAGTTCGGCATATCGGAGGAGGCCAGGTTCCAGCTGAGCGGTTTGCAGGCCTGAGTCCCGGCTCTGGTTCCTCTGATTTCCCACTGGGGCTGGGGCGAGCCCTCCTCACCCTCGCTGGGCCCTGGGTTTCCTGGCCGCGCCTGAATTTGCCGCGGGAGGTGTTTTGGTTTAAAGACTTCAAAAGCCCAAGGCTGCCAGAGGTGGGCAGTAAGGTCTCCTCCCCATGCCTCAGGGCCCACTGGACTGGCCTGGCACCTCTTGGTGCCACATGCTGCTGCCGAGGACGAGTGTCCACTCCCAGGAGCTGTGCCGGGCCCCTTGGGCCCGTCTGTCCAGGGCCTGGCAGGCCCCTGGGGCTGGCGCAGCTCTCCTGCCCTGCGCAGGCTGAATGTACAAAGCTAGACGATGCTGTGAAGGGCGTGGGGGCCGTGCCTCCCGGGCCACTGTGAATTCTCCTGCTGACAGGGCGGGCCCTGGCCGGACATCTCCGGCTGGCGTGCTCCTTCTGTTCGAATAAAGGTACCTCTTTTCCACACGGGGCGGTGGTGCAGTGAATGCAGAGGCATGTGTGTCCACAGGCCGGCGGTCCAAGGCGGTCGGAGCAGTTTCCCCAGGGAAGCGAGGCTCCTGGGGACAGACGTCTCCTCCAGACTTGAGGGTTAAGTGTTCAGGAGGCCGGGGTGGGGCCCCCCGAATAAAGGGAGACCTGGGGAAGGCAGTGGGGCTTGCGGGGGAAGGGAGGGGGTATGTGGTGGAATCCTGAGGTGCCCCTGAGCCCACCCCGCTTCCCAGGCCTGCCCTGAGTACAGCGGGCCCTCGGGGAGGGTTCTGCCCATGTTGTGAAAGGCTCCTGTCAGTTGGTGTTAATGAATCGAGGAGGCTGTCCTGGGCAGGCCTGACCTGCGGCAGGGGTGGGGCACGGGCCTCCCCAGCTGTCTGCCACGGTCACAGTGGTGGCCTTCAGGAGCATATGGGCTTCTGCCACTGTGACTGTCCTCCCCACTGAGGGGCAGCGAGAGTGGCCCAGGGCCCTCGGCTCTGCAAGGCCTTGTCGTGTCGTGACGAGGAAGAAACGCTGCCACCAGACGGGGTTCAAGTGGAAACAGATATTTTATTACAGCGTCCAGAGGTGGGAATGCAGAGCGCAGGGGTTAGGGAGAGAGGGGCAGGCCGCGCCAGTGCCCCCACCTCCAACAGTCTCCCCGGAGAACACAGCGGAGCCCGTCTGAGTTACAAACTGAGGTCGAGACATGAGAAACAAGTCGCGTGGAGGGGCCAGGTGACGGGAATGATGGGGCGGCGCGAACAGCCTCTTGCTGCGGGCCGGCGGATAAATAAAGGGGCGGGGGTCTTAAATAAGTCAGAGTCAGCAGGGAGGAAAGGCTGGCCCCTCCTGATGGAGGGTGGTCTTAGTAGTTGGGGTTTCCTGAGCAAAGCGACCGTGCAGCCCACTGGCTTCCCTGAAGGTGCCCGCTGCCCACTGTCAGCAGCACCGGGCACTGTCCCGAGCCACCTGGAGCCCCTGGCCTGCTGCTCCCCACCAACCCCCCGGCGGCCTTCCTGCGCAGAGGCTACTCTGTTAGAGGGCCGGTGCAGAAAGGAGGCACCCCGGCACTTGCTGCCAGGGCCCCCCCCAGTGGGTGCTGCTGCCCAGCCTTGTGTGCGCATGCGGACACGGGGAGGACAGCTATGGCACGTGAGTGGCCGCCCACATGAGTGACACAGGGTGCCGCAGGCTTGCTTGGTCGTAGACGGGGACTCGCTGCGTGCGGGCATTTCTCTGCTGTCAGCTCCGCAGCATTTTAGGGAGCCCTGTGCTCCCGACGTGTGGAGGGGACAGGCCAAGCATACGCTACCTTGTCCTGGGGGCTGGGGCGCAGGGTACGAGGGTTCACGGGGTGAGGCACAGCACCTTCGTACGCTGAGAGCACCGACCCCGAGGGCAGGCCCCAGGGCAGCCAGTTACAGAGGACGGGCTGGTTCCCGCCACAAGCACCATCTTCAACTTCAACTATTGCTCTGGGCCGGGGCATCAGCCTGGCCCCGCAGGAAGGAGGCTCTTCCAGGCCCACCCGCGGCAACCAGGGGTCCAGCCACTTGAAGCTGAGCCAACGGCCAGGCCTGCTCCACACGGGTGGCTCTGTCCCTGGGAGGTGGCTGGAGGCAGTAGACCATCCTGCCATGCACCTGCTGGCCTGCGTCCCACCAGCCTCTGCCCATCTGGCCATCGGACCTGTTGCCAGGGACGAGGAGGAAGCAGGCCAGTGTGGGCTGCCATACCTGGCCTCTCAGACAGGCAGAGGGCCCCTGGCACCCACATCTGGAGGGATGGGCCATGCCAGCCAGGCTGGGCGGGGCGGGAGCTCCAGGCTTTTCCTCGAGCAACAAGTTAAGTCCTGGCACAAAGCCCCACCTTGGCGAGAGATGAGTTCCACCCCTTCCCTGGCAGGCGCCACCTCACGGGGGCAAGTGCCACCTTGAGGGGACAAGCACCTGAGGACTGGGCTCTGACTGCACCCACCCAGCCCTTGCTGGAGCACCCTCCTCAGGCTCTGGGCCCCCCTGCTAGGACCTTTGGCCGATGTTGGCCCTTTCAGAGGACCAAGGGCTTCTGGACATGCCCTTTCAGGGATGATACACAAACGACAATGCTTGCCTGAGGGACCCGGGGCCAGTCACGGACCACTGTGCTGGAAGGAACCCCCAGCCCTGCTGATAGCCTCTGGAAGCATCCAGAACAGCTCTCCTGCCTTCCTGCGAGGCTGCAGCCTTCGCCCCGGTCGCCCGCCCCAGCGCATGCGTTCACAAGCACCTCAGAGGCGGCTCCAGCATGGGGGCAGCTGAGGGGTCGGAGGGCCAGTGGCGACCTGGAGCGGCTGCATGGGCCAGCCCGGGCCAGTGCCACCTGTGTGCACTTGAATAAATAAAAAGGTTTTCTCCCCTCACTTTTCTTTCTTCCTTGTTTTTTAGTTTACTGTGCATTATACAATCTAAAAATAAATGAAGTCAAGTCTATGAAATTTATAAATTTTCATCACATCTCTATAAAATACTGTCACTCGTCACCGTGACTCTCTTCTGTACAGACACAACCAGGCACCCACGACTGACCTGCCCCGCGTCACCGGCTGGTGCCCCATGAGCTGACCGCACTCTAGCGGACCGCGGGGGGAGCCCAGACGAGCAAAGACGTACAAAAGTAATGCACTTGTTCCAGCAGCCAGCGCGCCGAGCCGTCCGCACGAGCACCACTCCCAGCGGGTCCCCTCGTGGCTCTGCCGCCGCAGCCTTGCCGAGCAGGATGGAGAGGCCTGGCCGCGCCCGCCAGGCCCTTCCTATGCCAAAGGCGCTGCTCCCGGACCGAGGGGCTAACAGTCTGGTGGGGAGCCATTCACAGTGATGGGCGCGCGGGCGGGCGGCGCCCTCTGGGCGACGGGCCTTTTCTGAGGGCCGGCACGCGGCCTGTGGGATAGGAAGAGCCGCGGGAATCAATGGGCGGGTGCGTCAAGGACTGGTCTGGCGTGGGTCAACCTCGAGTCAGCACCAAGAGAACGTGGAGGGGCGAGCCTGGCGACGATAGCACCGGGACCGGCGGTCGGCGTCTCCGCGGGCGGCCAGTCCTTCGGGTAGGTGTCTTTATATAGATCCTCTCATATATAGTATTTACATTTCTCAATAGGTTGCCTTTATGACTTCGGTGGAATAAAATAAGTCAAAGTTGTTTATACTTTTTAAAAAACGATAAATACTTTATCTAAAACCTATGAACAGTACGAGCCGGAGCCAGGCCCCCACTCTCCCGCAGATCTGCGCAGCACTGATTCACAGTAGAACTCGCCTCCTGTCCTGTCCGTCCTCGCCGTCCCGTGGCCGGCCGCCAGCACCGCGGCCCCCGTCCTTGCATAGGTCTCACGGGTGAGGTAGAAATCCTAGTTACCTGCGGAGAGCGCGTGGAGAAAGGCAGGACAGTGTGAGCGTTCCACCTGGGGAAGCCCAGACATTTCCCCAGGCCAGGGAACCAAAGCCTCCTACAGACAGACAGACGGACAGATGGACGGAGCACGGCTGTTGCAGGACTGCGGCCCTACCACTCCCGGAAGGGACCTCCATGCCATGCCTCTCGTCCATTCAGAGGCAGGAGGTCCCCATCCCAAGACCCTTCCCAGAGCACAAGGGGCGCTGGTCCCGGCCTCCCCTCCTCCCCAGGAACTGTGCATCTGAGGTCCCCCTTGGTCGCCACATGCCGGGCCCTGCTCCACAGCGGGCCTGCAGGCGGCCCCACTGGCAGGCCTGCGTGCCCCATAAGCGAGGCTGGTGCTGTCCAGCCCAAAGAGACTGCCTGGGAGGGGCCCAGGACAGAAGGACAAAAGGCAGGTGCCCACTGTGGGCCAGGACGGGGCCTGACACCCAGATGCCTCCTTGCGCACAACTCTGATCCCTTGTTCACGCTGGTCGCAGCTGCGCACCACCTTCCCTGGCAGTGTGCGGCCACTGTGCGCTGAAGGAGCCCTACCTTCTGGGTTTCTCCAACAGCATTGAGGCACGGCCCATCACCAGACCTCAGATGAGGCTGTCCGCTGACCCGCACCCTCACTGGGAAGCTGTCAGACTCCAGTGGCCTCACGTCCGTTTGACATAAACACACACCAGACCCTGTGCCTGGCCCCTGGCACCCAGCTGGCGCCCAGCTCCGTTCCTCAAGTCCTTGGCCCATGGGCTGTGCACCTGCCCAGGGAGGCCCCTTGCCCCAGGCACGTGAGGCAGCACTGGCAGTGGCCCAGCTCTCTACCGCCGTCTTGCGCCCAAGGAGGGGCAGACGGCCCCCCCGAAGGCCTCGCAGACCCCTGGTCCTACTTCCACGGGCAGGCCCTGCCTCACTGCTCTCCGCCGACTGCACTGCCGGCCCCAAGTGCACGGGCTGCGCTTCTCGAGGCCAGAGGAGCTGTGCCCGTGGGCCCGGGAGCCCTTCCTCTGGCCGGTGCCGGGCTCACCATTACCCAGCAGCTTTCAGGGGGTGTGAGGGACCTGCAGACAGGGACCTCCAGCTAAGGAGCCCGATCGATGGACCACCACTGTGTTTTGAAGGCCGCTACAGACCGAGGGCTTTAAGTGGGTTGAGTTTTCCTAACCCTACGAGGTGTGTTCAAGGAACCAGGCTGAGAGAGGCCCTAAAGCGGACAGACGGCGAGGCTGGGACTCTGAGCTGCCCCATGGCCCCACACGGGCCTGCTGGGCACCCCAGCCACTGCAGACACGCGGCCCGGGGCTGGCGCAAGCTCAAGCCGGGCAGGACGGCCAGGCTGCTGGCCGTGCCCATCGCCTCCGGCTCCCCTCCCTGCACGGCCCCACTGGCCTGGGTGGAGCAGCCCTCCCTAGCTCCACGGCGCACTCAGGCTGCCCCAGCCTCCTGGTCCCGGGCTCCTGCTCACTAGCACCTCTCAGAACTGACTCTCTGCCCGCCGGCCGAGGCAGTGCCGCCTCGGTGCCGGGCCCGGCCGTTCCCTGCAAAGGCAAGGGCAGGTGAGAATCTCACACGGC